CTCCCTCCCTTTTTCCTCTTCTCTCTTCTTCCAATAGCTGCCAACAATGTCATTGATATCGCTCAACAAACAATTCCCAACGTGAACATGACAAATGTCACGAAATTGAATTCAAACAATTACCTGATGTGGAGCCTTCAGGTTCATGCTTTACTTGATGGCTATGAATTGGCAGGACATCTCGATGGATCCACATCCCAGCCACCCCTTACTATCATCAACAATGGTGTTGTCATCGCCAATCCTTCTCATCCACTCTAGAAACGCCAAAATAAGCTCATCTACAATGACTTACTCGGTGCCATCTCTCTGCCCATTCAGCCCCTTCTGTCCGCCTCTCGCATGTCTGTGGAGATCTGAAAAACTCTGGCTTTTACGTACGCTAATACCAGCCGAGATTATATCAAGCAACTAAAGCTACAACTCTAGACCTATTCCAAAGGTACAAGAACAATCGATGAGTACTTTCGTGGTTTCATTACTCGTTTTGATCAATTAGCTCTTCTTAGAAAGTCGGTTGACATTGAAGATCAAATTGAACACTTATTTGATGGGTTACCCGAAGAGTATAAGTCTATCATTGACCAGGTTGAAAGTCGTGACACACCTCTTTCACTCACAGAGATTCATAAAAAACTCCTCAACAAAGAAGCCAAGCAGCTGTCAATCATCTTTATGCCCGTTGATACACCCGTCACCGCCAACATTGTTAATACCCAATCACATTCCTTTCCACCCAAAAAAAATCAAAAGTTCACACCATATTGGAATCAACAGCGACAACAGCAGCACTACAGTCTGAAACAAGACACTCGTGTCATGAAAGGCTATAAGTGAAAATGTCGATAGTATGGTGTCCATGGCCACAGTGCTAAACGATGCCCACAACTACTACAGTCCTTGACCGTAAATAATCAACCACAACAATCATACCGTATGTGGCAGCCAAACACCAATGTTGCAATAAAGTCTCAGGATCCAACAGCAGCATGGCTTATAGACAGTGGCGCTATACATCACATGACAAGCGACCTCAATCACATAACTTTATATAAACCATACACGGGTGACAACTCTGTTTTTATTGGCGACAGTTCAGGTCTTGAAATCATGCATACTGGTTTACAATCCTTACCCTCAGCCATTCGAAATATCACATTAAACAATATCTTATGTGTACCCCATTTACACAAAAATCTCATATATGTTTACCGCCTTTGCAATACAAACCAAATTTCAGTTGAATTTTTTCCTGCCCGCTTTCAGGTGAAAGATCTGAGTTCAGGGGTCCCATTGCTCCAAGGACAAACTAGGGGTGAGCTTTAAGAGTGGCCGTTTTCCTCAACTACCGCTGCTTCGTTTTTTGCCTCTTTCTCCTTCAAAACCTTATATGGCTGATTGGCATTGCCGACCAGGCTATCCCTCTTCTTCAATTCTCAATAAATCCATCAAAACTTCTTCCATTTCTAGCTCAAATTCTACTATACCAAACTCGCTATATACTGATTGCTCCATTAATAAAGGTCATAGACTTTCCTTTCATCAAACATCTATCACTTTCACCAACCCCCTTTAATACATAATCTCATATGTCTGGACCTCACCAATTAGATCCTGCGATAACTATAAGTACTATATCATCCTTATTGACCACCACACTCGATATACTTGGCTTTATCCTCACAAAACTAAGTCGCAAGTCGTTGATATGTTCAAACTCTTCAAAGCATTGGCAGAGAATCAGTTCAGTAGCAAGATCGGGGCATTATACTCTGACAACGGTGGTGAATTTATAGCTCTTCGATCACTTCTTGCTACCGTTGGAATCTCCCACTTCACCTCACCGCCGCACACACCTGAGCACAACGGCATCTTCGAGAGGAAGCATCGCGATGTTGTTGAAACGGGATTGTCACTTCTCATCTATGCCGGCATGCTGAGGTCCTACTAGACATATGCCTTTGCCGCTGCAACATATCTGATCAACAGACTTCCGACACTACTGTTATATATGATGTATCCGTTCAAAAAGCTTCTTGGTACTAATCCCAACTACTCAAAGTTTCGAATTTTTGGTTGCCTCTATTTCTCGTGGCTACGACCGTACAACACCAACAAATTGGAGAATTGATCAACCTCGTGCGTCTTTCTTGGCTACTCTCCAACCTAAAGCTCAAACATATGTCTTCAGCCTAGATCTGGTGGGATTTATGTCTCTCGAGATATCAAATTCGACGAGACTGTGTTTCCCTTTCACTCCCTCACCCGCTCAGATCCTTATTTGTCATCTTCTCAGAAATCTCTCTCGAATCCTTTTATAGAAATCATCCCACTCCGCGGTCACTCGTAACACTCACCCCCCCCCCCCTTAACAAATCCGGGACTCCAAAGTTCACTTCACCATCAAACCACCCAACCCCACGAATGTATGAATTCTTTCTCTCCTTCCGTCAACAATATCTCTGAAGCAGAACATAATTCCTCCGATGAACCAAACCCTTCAAATCTCCAAAACAGCCCAACTTTACGAAACAGCCCAACTCCACAAAGAAGCCCAATATCACAAAGCTCAATCCCACTAAATGAGACCCACTTACCAAAGAACTCTTCTAGCCCAAGTAAACAAACCCATAACTCAACCAAACACACATCATAATCGTCTTCCTCCTCTGAACCAACACCACCACCCGCTCCTCCCGTCAATGCTCCAAGGCGAACTCGTCTCCAAAACAACACATCCAAACCAAACCCAAAATACCATCCAATCAAACCAAACCCAAAACGTAACCTATCTGCAGCCTTATCTACCCATATCCCACCTGAACCATTGACTGTGAACCATGCGATGAAAGGTCTTAATTGGTGTGGCGCAATGTAGGGAGAAATCGATGCTTTTTTCTCAAAACAAGACCATAGAGCTCGTCCCCAGACCGCCCAACCGAAATATTTTGGGCTGTAAGTGGATCTTTAAACACAAATTCTTGCCTAACGGCTCTCTCCATAGATGCAAAGTGAGGCTCGTTGCAAAAGGTTACAACCAGCAGTTTTGTCGCGATAACACAGAAACCTTCAGTCTCGTAATCAAGCTGACCACAATTTTGACTTGTGTTAGACATTGTTGTCACTAAATTGTGGCCAATTCAATAACTTGATGTTTATAATGCATTTCTTCAGGGGACGCTTAATGAAGAGGTGTACATTGAGCAACCACCAGGATTTATTGACTCCGATCATCCCTCACATGTCTTCCGCTTCTACAAAGCAATCTACAGACTCAAACAGGCACTCTGTGCTTGGTATACAACTCAAGACCTTCCTCCTCACCATTGGATTTCAAAACTCTGTGACTGACACATCGCTCTTCACTCTGAAAATTGGCAATGATTTCATCTACCTTGTAGTATACGTAGATGACATCCTTGTCATTAGCGGTAACAAAACACTGATTGCTCAGGTTCTAGCTTCTTTGGCAGCCAGATTCTCCATCAAGAGCCCTGAAGATCTCAACTATTTTTTCGGCTTGGAAGCTCATCGCACCAACACAGGCTTACATCTGAAACAAAGGAAGTACATTCATGACCTCCTGCACAAACGCAACATGTTAGATGCAAAAACTGTCAGCATATTGATGGCGTCATCTCTTAAGCTCACGTTGTTTACTAGTACATCACTCTCAGATCCAATAGAATATCGTCGACTTATAGGTGGTCTCCAGTACTTTGCTTTCACATGGCCTGATATAGCATATGTGGTTAACCGCTTATCTCAATTCATGCATCGCTCGACGCAAGATCATTGGCAAGCCGCAAAGCGTGTATTACGCTACTTAGCAGGTACCACTACTCATGAAATCTTCTTCTCTACCACAAATACGCTTACTCTACGTGCATTTTCAAATGATAATTAGACTGGAGACTCTGATGATTATATTTTCACCAATGCGCACATTGTTTATCTTGACAACAATCAAATTTCCTGGTCCGCTAAGAAACAGAATGGAGTCTAAAAATCATTAACTGAAACTGAGTACTGATCCATTGCCAACACCGCATCTGAAGTTCGCAGGATATGTAATCTGTTGAGAGAACTCGGCATTGACCTCCCAACAACTCTATTACTGTTCTGTGACAACTTGGGAGCAACGTTTCTCTGCGCCAACCCAGTATTTCACTCAAAGATGAAACATGTTGCTTTAGACTATCACTTCATTCTTGGACACATCCAGCAAGGCATTCTACGTGTTGTACATATCACAATTAAAGATCAACTTGCGGATGCACTAATTAAACCCCTAACTCGGGTTCACTTTTTGGAACTTCGTGACAAGATTGGAGTTAACAAAGCTGGAGAGATGTATAAAGGAGTGAATAAGGCAACTCGATATTATGTGAATATCTTTCCTCTCTACTTATAAAATCCTCTATAAATACAATAGTCTAAAACGTTCTCTTGAACGACTAATTCAATTATAACATATTTCATTATCAATAAGATTCATCTTCTACAGAAGAAGCTGTACTGGGAAAAAAGAGGAAGACGAAGAGGTGACAAAAGAGATGGAAAATGATAAAGAGAAGTGCCAGGAGGAGAAGGAGGAGAAATCGTTATGGTTGAAACTCTCAATTTTAATATTGATGATTTATTTACTAGTATGTCTTTTTAGTATTGAATATTATGTGGTTTTTCTGGTTTAGGCTTATGGGCTTATGATTCCCTTGTTTGGGCTATTTTTCCGGGGATTTATCATAGGCAAGCGATGTCTGATCTAATTGGATTAAAACAGTGAGCAAATTTTTCAAGTGTTCTGAATTTGTAAAAGTTGAATAATTAATATTTTCATCAAGACTGGAAGATCCTAGTAACGATTGTATACTCTGCATCCTTAATTTCAATCAAAGTAAAGAAAAAAAGAAAGATGAAGAAAAGAAAAAAGAAAAAAAAACTCAGATCCTGCTCATTTGAGAGTAAAGTGATGAGAAATACTCTTGCCGTGTTTTCTCCTAACTTCCTGCTCGTAACTTTCTTAGAGAAGAGCGTCTCCGAGATCTTCCCTTTCCATCTGTAAAACTCAAAAGTGTTATGTTACCAAACCCATCAACACAAGTTACAGTGCCGTTTTTAGCCTTTCAGGTTTATTAAGTTTTTAGTTTTGATTCTGCAAACATGAGCACTTACCACTTGTCAATCTTCCGGATGCAAGTAAAGCCTCTTGAGCCATTCCTCTCCACTGTTCCGCGCAAGAGTAATTAACTCCCATCCCTACACTGAGTCCTCTTAACAGAACTACAGTACGAAGTACAGAGAACAGTTCCTCTGGAAACGCCTAACCACCAAAGAACAATACATTGTCAAGTTAGTTTGGTAGAACAAACAAACGTTCTACACTTTGTGACCGTTCATGGTGTTTTTGGCTTTACCTCAACGGCTATCTTTTTGATCGAAGAGTCGTCTGAGAAAGGTTGCAACACTGTCTGACCATCAGGCATCTTTGTATCGAAAAGTGTTTGTGCTAACCGCAGAAGCTCTTGCTGCTCATTCTCACACTTAGCCACTGTGTGTAAACCAAGTTCCCTGAACATCCACCAACGCAAAATTACTAATGAGTTTCATCTCTCATGCTACACTGACCCAATCTTAGACATAAAACGTTTACTTATCACTTCCAATCATAAAGGTACACTACATCCTAGCTTCAAAATAGTTCCCCCATCCACTCTAAGTAGTTTAGTGGTATCAAATGGTTTCACCTGAATCATATCGAAACAACTATCCCAAAAGGAAGAGTATTTGCTACATGAGAAACAAACGGGTTTGAGCCACAAAACTGATGATATGTTTGAACAAAATTAAAAATCAAGATCACAAAATTACTGTAGTAGGCGCATGGAAGGTTTGAAGTTACCTAAAGCTCTGTGATACTCGTGAAGCATTGTTATCAGCCATGTCAATGACTAAATTGGCATAACCAAGTCTCAAGTTTTCAGGGAGTTCCTTCACTTGACCATAGTCCAACAGTGCAACCTGATCAAAGGAAACAATACTACACAACTAAGACTATATAGGCAGCAATAGATCACACCAAGCAAAAATCAAGAAGCTATAAGCAAAACATGACTTGCCTCTGGACCTTTACAGATCAAGATATTTCCGGGATGTGGATCCGCATGAAAGAAACCGCTTTTTATTATCATTTGGCCATATGCAAGGGACAAACTCTTAAGTATATTGCTGGGGCAAGAAGAGATATTAGATTCCAGTGAGGCATCAGTATCTTTCATAATGCAAACCAATACAAGAAATCAAAGAAAAGAAAAAGAAAGACTTTGTGCCAATATCAAGACTCTGTGCCAAAGAACAAAGACACCATACTCTCTAAAGATGATGTAGGAGCTTACTGCTTTGCCGCCTCTGCAATCTTACCATGAGGATTTATCCCTCTTCTAGCCATCTCATCACCAAGGCTCAGGATCGGAATCCCATCAATGTATTCCATCACCAGAACCCTCCTGAGCAAATTATGAGAGTTCATATAGTAAGTGTGTGCTAATCATCCATAAGCAAGATGAAAAACATCTTTTGAGATGTGAGTATACCAATAAAGGACTTACTTAGTCACTATAAAGATAAGCAATCAGGTCTATGATCTGTGAAAGTAAGAACACTTACTTAGTGACCATATCTCGGAGAACCCTTGGAACCACAACAGGAGACTTTTTGTTGTGCTTGTAAAGAAAATGGCGAATTCGTTCCATTGCATTGGCCTCCCTTTTGAAGTCAAACTCATAACCAATCTTGAAGAAAAAGACACGCTTACATGTTTTGTGACTTGGACAAAAGGAACTCTTTTCAGCTATATTAACAAAGAACCAGATTAATAAAGTACCTGTTTCTCCATTTCCTTTGTTATAGAGTGCAAGTCAAATTTAATATCTATTTTCTGCATGTATAACGCGAATAGTTGCAAGTTTCTTATATCCGTCATCATCAATCTTTCGATGCCAGGATGTTGAACCTAAACAAGTGGTTTCAAGTTAGAATCTAAATGAAAAGGATGTTAACTTTTACTTGTACCGTGACTATGCTCACCTTCACAACAACATTCATCTTGTTACCCTTTACTCTTGCCTTGTGAACCTAATAAGAGAAACCAAAGGATATGCTCATCTTTACAACAACATTCATCTTCTTATCGTAACATAGCATGAAAATGTCACTTGAGTTCCATGTATAGATATAATAGATCACAGGCAAAGATCAAAAATCCCAAAGTGTTGGGACATAAACTAAACCAAAGAATCTCTCCAAAATATACTCCAAGAATCAATGGCAATACAAGGTTCTCAAGCTATAAGAATAGTTAATCTTCCATTCCTCTAAATGTTATATACTTAAATACTATACTGTATTGAATTTTTCCTCATTACCCCGTATGTACTAGACGATCAACTGTTATTTTGATCGTAACCATCGCATGAAAATGTCGCTAGAGTTCCATCTCTAGATGTAATAGATCATAGGCAAAAATCAAGAAATCACAAAAGGTGTTGGGACATAAACTAACCAAACTATACTCTAATTCTGAATTTTCAAGCATCAATGGTAATACCACTTTATCTTCCATTCCCCTAAATATCATATTCTGATACTATAATTTCGACCATGTTTATCTAATGGAAAGGTTTCCACAAAGACCTGGTAATACCTGAGCAATAGAAGCGGAGCCCAGAGGCTTTTCATCAAATGTTTCGAAGATTTCACCAATGCTTTTACCTAACTCCTTCTCCAAAACACGTTGAACCGCATCATACGGCGTCGCAGGAGCTTGATCACACAAAGTCACAAGCTTTCTCACCCAAGCAGCTGGGGCCATGTCAGGTTTTGCTAAAAGCTGAGCAATCTATTCAATATAAAGGCAACTAAAATCATAAGTAAAGAAACAATGTAACAGTCGTCTCAACACAGTAACCATGCAATAAACCCAAAAACTAACATTCAAGAACCAATCAATTGATATACCAGAAGAATCTGTCTTATAAATTTTACAAGGCACCTTAAGCAATTAAATCATAAGAAAAGAGACAACGCACAGTCTTCTCAACACACAATACCAACCCATCCAATGCAATTAACCCAAAACACTAACATTCAAAAATTCCAATCAATTGATCTACATAAAGAATCTGACTTTATAAAATTTCCAAAGGCCCCACCTTAAGGAAGAATCCGCCAAGATCAGAGCACATGAAGTAGATTTTGTCAGCAGCTTGCTCGTGTTGTCTCTCCCACATTTCCTCCTGTTTCTTTGCATCTCTCACCAAACTCACTCGAAGCTGAAACACCTGAATCAGAGCAAAACAGAGAAGAAAGCCCAAATTCAAGAACTTTGAGACAAAAAGGAGAAGACTTTAGACTATTGATAAAACCAAAAATGATGAAAAAGAAATACCATCGAAGAGAGACCTTGTAACCAGTGTAGATATTTGAAGCTCGAACCCAGAATTGAAAGGAACGTTGCCACGGACGAAAGCTCTCGGAGATCTTCTCCTGAATCTCCTTGAAATCTAACCCATGCATTTTCTTTTTCTTTCTTCTGGCGGCGATGGATGGATTGGGTTTTTCAGATTGTTTATCTCAATTTGAGGAAATTCTTTGAGAGTAGATTAATGGGAAAGAGGGCAGAACATACGCTTCGGTTCCGTTGACCTATCCTAATGCCAATCTTTGGAGTTTAGCTCTAAACGGTATGTTACGAGTAGAAAATAGTCCCAATTGTCTAAAATGACATTTTTGGTAATTACATCCACACATTTGATTGGCCCATCTTTTTGAAGATGTCTTCTTCCACACCATGTGCCAATGACGTGTCTTGTGAAGCTATGGAGTCTAAGCCAATTTTGGGGGTTGTTGGTATGCCTGTATGAGGGTACTTTAGTCGCTTTCGAACAGCAAATCCTCAAGTCCAAGATTGCCGAGGCATGACATTGCCCAAGATGAGGTTACAATTTTAGTAAAGTAAATGTAATTCCACAATTAACCGTAGGTCCGCAATATCTTTTGGGTGGTCTATGGTGGTGAAAAGATCTCAAGACTGGTTTTTGTCGTTTGGATTCTTGTTTTATTTGGGGGAAGCAATAAAAAAGCTCTCTCCTTTCCTCAGTTACCTGCTCTAATCTATAGTGTGAAGCTTGTCTGAAGTTTATTTTGGTCCAAGTTTCCTCTTAAAGTAACCTCTTAATCATACTTTGGAGAGTTGGGTTTTGTGATGGGCCTGGCGTCGGGTGTATAGATCTTCATGTGATTAAGAGGTTGTGAATAAATTTTGATGACAACTTTGCAATTTTTTCTTCAGCTTTAGGTTTAGTCCTGTTCTTCTGTGCTTCATATTTGAGTTGTGTTCGGTCGTTTATGTATTCCAATCTTTTTTTGATGGTTTATGTAGGTTTAGAAGCATTTTGTGGAATGTAAACGAGGGTGTGTGTTTTTTTATGTCACATAATTTCATTTTTTGGGTTTGTTCTTTGGAGATGAATAATTATCAGTGAAGTCTAGATGGTGAAACGGTTTTGGGAAGGACCGAAAAAGATTTTTACTCTCAAATATTCTTTAACGCTTAAAATGGTAACATTTTATATTGAGGAGAGTAGATTTTAGTAAGATTACGTGATGGAATATCACGTCTGTAGATCATAATGTTCATTTGATATTTTGGTGATACCCAAGGGCCATGGACATATACGAGAAAAGGGTTGAAACTCTCTCTAATCTGATGAACGGAATAAAAGATCTACTTATTTCAGGAGGCAATCCTTTGATGGAGTGACAGAGAGCCAATTCCACAAGATATGCTGCATGGTATCGCCGGTGAAAGGTTTCAATGAGTTAGGTGAAGGAGGAGAAATCCAGTTTACTTTAGACTATAAAGATCATTGAATACCACCTCTTCATATCTCATGCCTTTACATCATTTATGCTTGCAATTAGTGCATCTTTTGGTTCTCTTTTGCATGTCTTTCTTATCTTTTGTTCCATTTTCTTCTCTTTTTAGACTTAGGTTGCATTTAGGATGTAGTTTGCATTTTTTTGTATAAAGAACGCATTTAGGTGCTTATGGAGTTATGAAGAGCAAGGAGGAGCTTTGGTAGTGAACCAGGAAGCTAGATGACCTTGGATGGAGCAAGAGGAACCAAGGCAGACGATTTCTGCAAGCCGTATCGGTCAAGGCACGAAGGCTATCGGTCAAGGAGTGAGCGATAGAGAAGCTATCGATCAAGCTATCGGTCAAAGAAGTGACCAATAGAAGTACACCGTATTGATTTAGGTCATCCTATCAGTCACCTTCTAGACCGATAGCAAGCCTATCGATCACCCTATCGGTCACATTCTGACCGATAGGATCCCAGTCCGAAGCTGATTTTATTTACCATTCTGCCATTACTTTTAGGGCTTCCCTCTTTATGTATAAATACTCATTTTCTGGGGATTTTCGACAAGTCTTGTCATTCTACTGTTCTTGAGTTATTTCTTTGAGTTTGTAAGACAAATTTTTTGCTTTATTTAATATAAGTTTGTATTTGCCTTTAATTTTTTCTTAATCTCTCTTTTAATCATGATTAACATCTTTTCCTCTTATGATTTGGTGTTAAACATGATTATTAGTGAGTAGTTTGCTTAGGATTCTTAGATGTGGTAGATTAGGAGAATTTGAGGATTGATTAAAGTTTGTTTAGTGCTTAATAACACGGGTTCCTCTCTATTAGTCTGTTCTTAAGCTAGATTTAAATTGATCATTTGAATCTAGATTTAGGCTTTCTCTTATGCCCACCAAGTGTTTGATAAAATGTTGATCTTGTTTAATAGAGGATTTACTGGCCTTAGATCAAGAGATTGACTGTCTGAGGAGTATTTTGACATGAATAGAGTTGACTCTTAATGCTTGTTGAATGTTTTAGCACTAATGAGAGTTAGTTCTCGTAAAAGTGTTTAGCAAAAGGATATTTATCAAGAGATTGGATTTAGCTTGCTTGTTTGTGAACTCTATATCTAGGAACCAGCATTGCTAGCTTGTTTGCTTGATCAATGATGTTTGAAACAACCTTAGTTAGTCTTTGAATTCCCCAAATTCAATAACCACATCTAGGAACTTGCCTTCTCTTTGTCTGAATTTCGAATTTGCCATACTCTGTTTTGCTTCTTGATCATTGCTAAATTGTCTCTTCTTGAGTTCTCTTTGGTGTATGATCACTTTAGGTTGTTAGTTCAGTTGCTTAGGCAACAAAAACCTCTCTGCTTGCTTGACTTAAGGATTTCTGCTTGCAACTATTTTGTATTCAACAACTCCCCATGGAATGATAAACTCAATACTACAATGACTAGTGTAGGTTGAGGATTGAGATAGGCAAAACACCTACATCAATTTGGTGCCGTTGCCATTAGGGTGTTCAAGAAGCTACAGATATTGTAGAGAAGTTCCTCAAAGGACTAGATGACAGCTTGACCAGAGAAGAAGAGCAAGAAAGAGCCGAACAGGAAGCTGCTGAGAAGGAAGAAGCTGAGAAAGCCTTAGCTGCTCCAGAAGAAGAAGCCAAACCAGAGCTCAGTGAAGCTGATAAAGAGCTTGTAGAGACATACCATGCTTTGATGGTCTTGGCCAGAGAAAGTCCTAAAAACTTCAAGGAGTTATATGATCGCCAAGTGGGCAGCTCCTCAAGCAGCAATGAGAAAGGTAAAGCTCCTAAAGTTCAAGCTTACAAACCACCAATCCCTTACCCCACAATGCACTTTACAAAGGCTCGGATGGAAGTCTACTCAAAGTTCAGGAAAGACATACAAGATGCTGGAATAAAGCTTTCCCATGGCACCACTTTGCTTGAAGTGAAGGATCAAATCAGGTTCTTCAAAGAAGTCTTTGACAAGCTGGAAATAGTGGAGCCAATTCTGGAGAATGTGGGAGCTGATCTGAATAGAAGCAAGGAGCTGAAGACATTGACAAAGCTTCCTAATCCTGGAAAGTTCCTCATTACTTGTGAACTAGAGATGCTAGACAATGTTGGGGCCTTGTGTGATTCAGGTTCAACAGTGAATGTCATGTCTCTCCACTTAAGCTAAACTTTAGGAATCAAGAAAGTGAAGCCCTGCAAAGCCTCTATCACCTTTGTGGATAACACCTCAACAAGACTTTTGAGCATGGTGAAGGATTTCCCTTTGAAGATTGGGAATTGCTTAGTGCCAACAGATTTTGTGGTTATGTAGAAGACATATTCAAGAGAGGTGCCACTTCTTCTAGGAACACCATTCTTGGCAACAGCAGGAGCTCAGATGGACTTCAAGAGAGGCTCTGTTATTCTGAAGAATGTTGATGAGTTCAAAGTCTACAAGATTGTCTCTCCTTCCATAGTTTTTTGTGGAATAATCATTGAAGAAGAGAGTGAGCAACAGCAACTTCCAGAGCGTGTGAAGCATGCTATGAGCTTCACAATGAGTATGTTGATGAGTGACACTCTCCCTGATGAGCCAGAACAGAAGCTGGACACTGAGTTGAAACTTGAAGATGGTTTGAAAGAGGATGAAAGCTTGATCAGCAAGGGAGTGAAGCCTTTGATCACACCAAGTGTCAAAAAAAAAGAGAAACAGGAAGACAGCTCGTGAGAAAAAGAGACTGATGTCAGTGGGCACTTGGGTTTACCAGAAGAAAGAGGTAGGAGCACCAGCTCCATCAACCTCTTCTTACTAGTCCTCCAACAATCAAAGTCAAGCTAAGTGACTTTAGACAAGCACACTTGTGAGGTAGTCCCATGGTATCCTTTGTATATATTATGCTTTCTAGTTTATTTATATGCTTGGTTAAAATTTATAGAAGCAGGGATTTGGTATGGGGCTTGAGAAAGTGTCTAAGGGAACAAGAACAGGTGCATTTTGGCTACTATCGATCACCGTATCGGTCAAGACAAGACTTATACAGACCCTATCGGTCATGTTATCGTTCATGAGGTGATCGATAGTGGTGGAGCCAAAATGCACCAGTCAACATATCAGTCAGCTGTGATCGATAGGGAAAAGGAGCTGCAAAGTATGAATGTTATCGGTCTAGCTATCGATCAGATACTGACCGATGGAAATACATCGGTTGTATTTCGGTCACTCTATCGGTCTAGAGAGTGACTGATACAAAGCAATCGGACGTATTTTGGTCAGTGTATCGATCAGATTGTGACTGATAGGATTTATCAGAAAGTCATCGGTCAATGCTATCGATCACAAGTGATCGATATGCATCCTATCAGTCACCATATCGGTCAAAACATGATCGATAGCACGCGAGGTAAGTTTTCAAAATTTTCAAAAAAATTTCCCTCTCTTGGTTTGGAGCCAAGGAGGTTTAAATTTGAATTTTGGCTCCTTCCTGACACTAAGCGGAGCTCCTGAGCACTTTTGTTCTTGTCCCTCACCCACTTGATTCCCTTGGTTCCCCATTCACCTCTTTAAAATCCAACAAACTTCCTCTCTTCTTTTCACACTTCATTTCCTCATTTCTCTCACATATAGATTGAAATTTTTAGCTCACTCTCTCATTATTA